TTTGGCAGTTCTGGTCCCCGCGGCACAGGGAAGGCAGAGCCCGGCTCCGGCAAAGCCCTGCCGGGCAGGGGAGCGCACAGCCGCCGAGCGTGCTGCAACGCTGCGCCGCCCCACCACGATTCGGATCACTCGCACGTCTCAGCTGCCGGCCTCAGCCACCGTCTTTCTCCAGGTCACTTCTGCGTCTCCTTCACAGCCACAGCCGAAGCAGAGGCCGGCAAGAGAAGGCTAGAAGTTCGCAGGCAAAAGCATCCCAGGCTACAGGAGCCCATGGTGCGTCTTTTCGGTAGAGCCGAGGCCTCTCGCTTACTGCCACGGCCGCGAGATGAAAACCGAAGCAGGGACAGCACGCCCGGCACACGCGGCTGTCCAGCGCAGGACACCGGCCACTCAGCAGGGCACTAACAGGAGGCCCCCACACGTCCCAAGTTGGTTGGTCTATTTAAATCATAATTAAAATCAATGACTTAAAGCAGCAAATCACAATTTTTGTTCCGTTCTTTTCCCCCGTGCTCCTCCAGCAGTCGTACCGTGACTGTGAGCCGCCTTCCGCGGGAAGCGGCTAATGAGGATCAACCCCAGACACGTCGTTTTGAAGCGAAGTTTCTTTGCACTGAATTTGGCATTTCTTTGTGCTAACCAGGAGACACTACAGACACATTTAAGCGGTTATAGAGTCAACACGCTTCCAGATACTCACATTGATTACACTGTATTAGAAAACGGTAAATTATTTAACAGGCTTTCTGACTTGTGATTAGCGTAAAGCCGTTCTTGGATGCAAATTGGAATTGTAATTAGACATGTAGAAATCCAGCATCTGAAACCTGTTTTTGTGGAAGCAGTGTAAGGTACTTTTTTCCTTTTGTATCCAGCATAATTATCAAAGAACACTTTGCACATAAAAAACATCAATTTATTAAAACCAGAGACAGTTTTACACCTGATCAGTGAACTAAAGCTGGTCATCACGACGCCTGGATTTTTGAGCTAGTACATCTCAACTTCTCATATGTGATTTTTTTTTATTCCTGCACTGCAAGAGGAAGGCAAGCTCCCCCCACCTCTGCCGACTTACTGCGCAGCTTTGAATGAAGCACTTCTTGAACAGAGCTACACTTAAACAAAAAAAATCCCAGACAAACAAAACAATGATAAAAATCTCTTCGGCAGGTATAGAAGAGACCACAGCCACAAAGAGCCAGCGCATTGCTTCCAGATACTCTGGCTTCAGACACTTACCTGCCAATTCCCTTTAGTTCTGTGGTACAACTCATTAAAATTTCAAAAGTAAAAACTGCATTTACATTTGCGTGATAAGTTTAAATGCATTTAGGTTTTATAGTTTGCCAATTGCAAGTTATGGCCAGCTTTTGAGGAGGTGGTTTGGTTTGGGTTTTTTTCCTACTTAAAAACAGTTACGTCAAACTAAAACAAATCTGTGTTTGCTCTGTCACCAGCTCCCCTCTGCCCCCAAGCCTCCCCCAACACCAAGCAGGGTCAAGGACATGCTCGTTTAAGGCTGAAATGTGAGAGATCCCAGCAGAGCTCTTGCAAGCAGAAATTTCAAGACTTTCCTTGCCTTTAGCCACCCTCCTTGCAGGTGACAGTTGCTGTTTGAACCTGATCTCACACATGTGAACAGAAACCAGAGCCTGGTTACGGGACCCTGTTTATCAACCCAGGCAGAGATTATGGGAA